GGGCTGATGGGGCGTATTGGTTCCTTGGGCATCTTGAACCCGACAGGGAAGTTGAGTTCTCTTAGAGAGAAAAAGTCTTCGAGTCGGGTTATGCTGAGGGCCACCTACAGTCCGGCGCCGTTGGCGGGCGGAGGCACGTCTTCGACCCTTTTGGCCTCGTGGGCCTCTTGTCGAGGGGCTTCTCCTCTCTGGTATACCTCTTCAAGTGCCCGTCCTTGATGAGTATCTCGATTGTATCCTTAATAAGGATGCAATCCTCGGTGACATGTCTGTGGCTGCGGTGGAAGCGGCAATACTTGGACTTGTTCACATTAGCTTTGGGAGGTGCCAGTTTAGGGAAACAAACACCTCCCTTACGAACTCTGAATTGGCAAACTCGGCCAGGATGTGCTCGTGGGAAGCAATGAGGGCTGTGTACTCAGTGAACCGACCTGCGGGGCCCCTCTGTTCTCGGGGTTCCCGAGGACGATCATCTCGTCGTCGATCTCGCTCGCGCCGGGGGGCTGGTGCTTCTTCTTCTCGAGTGCCACGTGCAGCTTCGCGATTTCGAGAGTCTCGAACGAAATTGGCAGCTTCGATCTCCTCGAACCGGATGTATGCTCGGGCCTTTTCGAGGAGGCCTTGGAGGGTGGTTGGCCAGTGGATTGCCACGACCTCGGAGAACTTGGAGCCGCGGTGCAGCCTTTGCTCCATGAGGTATCACTTCATGTCCTCGAAAGTAGTTACCTGAATTGCCTCCATGGTGAACCTCTCGATATAATTCCTAAGAGACTCATCCCTGGCTTAGACGATCGCGCCCAGGGATGCTTCTGTCTTCGGATGGCGTTGGGATGCCGTGAAGTGTTGTGAGAAAAGATCTTTCAACACCCTCCACAAGGTGGTGGATTTGGGCTCCATGATTTTGTACCATGCCATGACTCCCTTTCTTAGAGTTTTCGGGAAGAGCCTGTATTTGATGGCTCCTCGGACGTTCCGATAGTCGAGCATGCCTTCGATTTCCTCCAGATGGTCGTCTGGGTCCGTCGTGCCATCATAGGTGGAGAGGGCAGGCGGCTTCTCCATCCCGTGAGGGATGGGAGTCTCGATGATGTCCCGTGACAAGGGAGTCCGATGACTGTCCTCGTTACTTCGGACAAGGGAGCGCGAGGGGGAAGGATTGCGTCAAATGGACTAACCGCGACCCTTCGTCCTCTTGCTCGGACCGTCAGATCTGCTCTTCCTCGGGGTCGGGGAGTGTCTCTCCTTTCGGGGAGGTAACCTCTCGCGCTTCTTGGAGGCCACAGTTTGGGGCCTCTCCAATTGTGGTTGGCGCCCCTGTTGACGGGGAGAGGGGCTCCGAGAATCCTCGCGCTGGGATCTCTGCGGGGGAGATGTCGATCGTGTCTCACGCAGTACTGGAGAAAGGCTCCGGGCAGGACGGCGGTGTCTCTGCGGAGGAGAGCAAGATGGATGATCCTGTTCTAGCATCCCGATATGCTCATTCTGCTGGAACAACATCAAGCTGGTCTGGTTGATAGCCGCGAAGAGGGTCGTCATCGTCGGATCTGCACCTGCTGGTGTGGGACGGGCTGGAAGGCAACTGAGCCCCTTGCTCGTGGGGCGACGCTGAAGGTCACGTCGTCAGATGAAAGAGAGGTTGTCCACCCATCCCTAATATCACCATCATGTTCGTTGACTGACACACCATGATCGTCACCGTTGGTGAGCGGGTCGAAGGCGAAGTCGTGGATAACATCGTCGTGGTGTGGGCTGACCATGATCACAGAAGTTGATGAAAGTTTTGGTTTTATTGCTCGGAAGAATGGGGAAGCTTTAGTTTCCCACAAACGGCGCCACTGATCTCACTTGATCAGAAGGAGTCACCGACTGGCCACACATCTGAGCTGTTTGACTGCTGGGGAGAATGGAGGGGGTGTACATGAAACATACTCCGATGCCAAAGTAAGAGTCGGACATAATGATAACAAGTACAAACACAGAAGTAAGAATGAGATCACTTGAGCCTCTAGTGAAAGAGGGTATTTATAGTGTGCCCCCAGTGTAGGGCCAACGATTACTTTGTGTTGGGTTGGATTGCCAGACCCAATGCTGGTAACTGCTAAGGTTGACGTGGCGTCAGGAAGACCAGCACGTGGTCTTCGCCCTAGTGTAACTGCTCCGTGTTATCCGGGAGGTGAATGATCGAATAATCAGCGCACAAATAGTTACCTGATGACGTGTCTCCGCGTAGGGGACATGTTGAGAACGTAGGGGAGGTCAGAGGAGCCCTCCGAGCTGGATAGGGTCTGCCCGACGGTTGGGCAGAAGGGAGAGCGTGCCTGACAGATATGAGGTGCCTGCTCGACTACCAAGAGATTCGTGCCCGACGGGAGAAAGGGTTCTGCCCGACGGAAAGGCGGTTTAGGTCTTATTAGACCTTCCAACCCGATGTGGGGTTAGGCCTGCTCGACTGTGGACCAAGTGTCGCCCCAGTCCAAAACAGATTATGTTTATTTCCCATATTTATTGTGTAATATTTTCTATGTTCGTAAGTGATTTCTAAATAAACTAGTTTGATCATATTTTCTATTTAATTACACTTTTAAATACTTTTGGTAGAGTTTACCACAAATACAATAAATGTGAGAAGAGAGATTCCAATGGCTAAATTAGAATAAGTATTGCCAACTAAAAAATAAAAATGGTTTGAATTTTAAAAATATAAAAAAAAAATTAATTTGGCTCTGCCTGTTAAATAGGTATGCGATATTTGATTGAATCCCAACTATTTGCTCTTTAAGGATTCGCTCGTGGTGATTGTAAGGTTTTTTTTTTTTTAGGTATTAAAAGTCAATTTCAAAACCAAAAGCTATTAGATAAAAATGAAGTTGATTTGGTTTGTTACTTAATTTCAAAAACTCAAACAAAAAATAGGTTCTTAAATTCTTGTTTTTGTTTTAAAGGTAAGAAGACATCACCGTTAATAATTACCGATAACTACTCTAACAATTATTCTAACCACCACTATGACCACCATCAACTAAGAGCATCTTTAATGGGAGCAACTAAATTGGATGAACTAAGTTATTTTACGTGTGTCCAAATTGACATGAAAGATTTAAGCAATCCAAAATTGAATTAAGAAGTTTTTACTTCAATGGTGATTGTTTATAAGGAATTCAAACTTGATATTAAATGGTTAATAAAAATCTATTATTTATGTTAAATAATTAATAAAAATTTATTGTTTATGTTAAATAATGAGTTAGAGTACGTTGCTTGTGTAGAACACGTAAACTAGTTTTAGAGTATCCCATATGCCATGTCAGCTCTACTATAATACAAATTCCTTATTACTTTCGTAAGCTATACAAAATTTTAGTTTAACAACTATGCGTTAAAGTTGTTCTAATACTAGTTACTATCAATCACCATTAATCACCACCACTCCGACTATTATTCTAACCACCACTACAATCACCATTCTTACCACCACTACGACCATAATTAATCCCTACCAACTATCATTGACCACCATTCATATCATTAATCTAAATCAATCACCATTAATCATCACCACTCCGACTATTATTCTAACCACCACTACAATCACCATTCTTACCACCACTACGACCATAATTAATCACTATCAACCATCATTGACCACCATTCATATCATTAATCTAAACCAATCACCATTAATCATCACCACTCCGACTATTATTTTAACCACCACTACGACCATCATTGACCACCATTCATATCATTAATCTAAACGTTATTCTTACCACAATTGACCATTGTTGCCTACTATCAACCAACATCAACCACCACTAATACATCTAATCATTATCCGGCCAAAATGGCCACTATTGACCAACCTATCCGCTACCAACCATCCGTCAACCACTGCTCATACCATCCGTCAACCACCATTCCGACCATTATTGTGACCACCACTCTAACCACTTTTGACCACCATATTGATTATTTATAATATTTAATTATTTTACAAGGCTAATAATATGAACTGTTTAGATTAAGATATGTATATCATGAACATTTATTTTTATGTTCATGTAAGAAATTAATTTTGTTTAAAAATTTTATAAACTCAAAATTTAAACTAAAACTAACTGATTTTAAAAAATTTTAAAACTCAAAATACAAATTAATTTTATCTTTCGAAAATTTCAAAACAGAAAACGGAAGACCGACCCAATTGGGACCTAAATCTTTGCAATTTCACTATTTTCTCATAATTAGATTTTAAAAGATCAGTTGGATTGCTACTTGCCTAAATACTCTTGACTACGCTTTATAAATTCTTAATAAGAATGAAAACTTGGTTTATAAATATTTAGAAGGATAATTAGCTACTTCTTCAACAAGATTACAAGATTTGGTCCTCAAAACCTACGTAAAACTCTATCTTCTCACAGCCATCTCAACTCATTCTACATGATAGTGTAGATCAACATTTTCAATTAACTAATGCAACTTTTCTACCTTTTAGAGCCTCACAGATCATAGATTACTCTACTCAATTTCAGATCAAATGGATCATAATTTAGGGTCCTCACAAAAAGGTACTTTTCTGCTAAGAGTTCTTATCAATCCATAAGACAGTGCAAAAAGTAACCAATAAACACAATATGAAGTTTGGACAAAACTTTGAAACCTTACTATTTTGAAAGATAACTTCTAAACAAAAAAAGAAACTTCTTCATAAAAACTAACCAGTCTCCCAAAACATCACAAAGTATACATCTGGAATAATAATACAGACAGTAAAACCTACAAACATATATCAAAACCTCCTCGTGAAGGGCTTATACAGGGCCCACACATAACATAGGGTTTCACAGTAGGCCTACAACCGTATTATTTCCGATAATTTCTTCTAATCTCCAACATTTCTCAAAACACGCAATTTGTCTGGACTATAATCCAAACAAAAAGCGGGGAGTAAGAAGAAACTATCATTATTTATTCATCGGCGCACAGGCTAAGAAGGTCGACTAGATTGCTGCAGCAGTGGTGGAAGGTAAGTAACTACGACAGTTATCGAAACCATACCAAATACCATTAGGAATGAAAGTGTTGTAGTAGAAAGTAGCAGGCGGGTAGTTAAAGGTAGATACTGTGACACTCTCTGGTTTCCAACCATCGTATCCTGTTCTGTATAAATACAGATAGCATAATTGGTAAGTACATGGTCCGTCTACATGAAATGTGTCTGTAGAGCACCTCTCAAATGTCCTTGAACTAGGATCATCCAATCTTGGAACATAAACCTGATTCATTATCCAATTAACCAACATATTAGTAATTGAAATGAAATATTAATCAATTACGAATATAAATGAGTTGAACTTGAACTATGTATAGATGACTGATCCCTTTCCTGTCGAGTCGAATCAATTTCAACCTAACTTGACTTATTTTCAGCCCTATTTTAGATTGTGAAGTTAAAATCAAACATTTTAAACAAACAAGTATGCAATTTATGATGGATTAACTTGGTAAGACATTCTTTACATTGATCAAAATTAGAGTAAATTGTTTCCTATTAATTATTGAGAAGAAATGGAACCTGATATCCGTAAGCATCGCCAAAAGAAAGACTGATTCGATCTCTGGTATAAGATGGAGATTTGCAGCTTGTCTTTATAGTCACAGTGTAAGCACAAGTGTTCCCACCAGCATTCTGCACATGCATATTCAATTCATTTCAGATTTTACAGTAACAAGATCTGAAAATGCTACTGTATGAATTGAAAAATTGATACCTGAGTTTGAATTTGGTTGGGGTTGAAAGATTGGTTGGGTTGAGGGTGATCAGAATGAGTGGTTATCGGTGTTGGTTCCGAGAAGACGGCGATGATGGAAAATGAGAAGAAGAGGATTGAAGCAAGGGGTTTCATGGTTATTGTTGTAGAGAATGGGTTCTTTCTTTGGTTGGTTTTATCGTAGCCACGACAAAGGGGTGGGTAGGTAGCTAGGGTCAATTTTCGAGTCTTTGCTTCGTTTCTTCGTTTTTCAATTCCCTAGTTACAAGGGTGATTAGATTAATGTTTAAGCTTAGTTTATTAGTATTAGTATTATGCTGATTGACATTGAATTTCAATAAATTAATTGGAGTTAAAATTAAATTAAATTAAATTAAATATAAAATAATTTAGGGTCATATTAATAGGATCAAGAGCTAGATATGCTACTGACCCTATCCGCATAAATTCATATATTAAATTGTCTAGATGAATTAAAATGTAATTATTAACAGATCAAGTATTTGATAGAAATAATTGACCGGTATGTAATTAATAATGAATTTTGATATGATCAAAGATAATATAAAAAATTGTCTGTTTGAATAATAATCTTAAAGATGTTCTAATTTAGAATGGTTCCTCGAATGAAATTGAATAATAGTTTTAAAGATATTCTAATTTAGAATGGTTCCTCGAATGAAATTTATTTTGTTTCAGTTGATTATATGTGGTTGATTTCACACTTGAATCATTAAAATACCCATTTAAATTCTTAGAGTTAATTTGAAAGCTACAAGTGTTTGAGAACATGCGTTTCTTTGTGTGGTTCATCGCCCTCGACTCTCTTTCTAGTAACTTCTTTTGGATGTTATGTCATATCTCATCAACTTTTTCCTTGTAGTAGATGTCATCATTTACATAAAGCTGATTTCCATACTCTCAAAAACGACCCAATTTCATGAGTTGTTTAGACGATTAGTCTTTTTCTAAACTATGCTGACTTTTTTTCTCCATATGTCTCTGAGTGGCTTCCATATGTCATATTTCTCCATATGTCATCACTTGTTGCGAAATTTAGAATACTAGAAATGATGGAATATTTCAACCTAAATGAGAGCCTATTCGGTTGATTGTTAATTGTATTTTTACCTCTCATAATATTATTTCACATGTTTTGAAGATTGTCACCATATCGCAAAATATACAAAAAGTCGTATGACTTTCTCCTTTAGATCCTAGTCTAAAATTAAACATCAATGATAGCTCTTTCAAAAATCCAAGTCATATTGATTTTGGTGGTCTCGTCAATGATAGCTCTTCCAAAAATCCAAGTCGTACTGATTATGGTGGTCTCATTCGTAATGTTATTGGTAGTTAAATTTATAGCTATTCAGGATCATGTGGTCGTGCCTCTAACCTTATGGAGGAGCTTTATGCTATGTTTAAAGTTCTTCAATTGGGTTGAAATCTATCTAGGCCATTGCATGATTATTTTGAAATCGAATTCCAAATCCACTATTGATCTTTTTCATGAAAAGAACATCACTTATTCTCATGTAGCTGTTCTGATTTAGATTCGAGATTTCTAAACTCAAAATTAATCTTTGACTTTTACTGATACTTTTAGAAAAGGCAAAGATTAAATATGGGGCTCATCTTGATATTAATCTTAAGTTGTGGATCCTCCCTACTCAAAAAGGGCATGTGCTCCTTGTGGATGCAATGGGAGTCTTGAAGTTGCTTCCACATTAATTTATTTCTTATCTTTCTTTTCCTTGTAATTAAAAAATACAATCAGTTGGTTTGGTTGTATATGTTATTGTTTTAATCGGATACTCCTTGTATATATAACCCCAAATAAAAAGTGAATCACGTGTTGAGAAGCTTGTTTTGGTCCTGCTGTCGCCTCGCCAAAGTCGTGCGTAGGTAAACAAACACCAAAGGATAATGAATCATGTCCCGATTTAAATTTCCATGCACTTAAAAATCTATAATTTTCTATGTTTGTGTAGCATGTGGTAGCAGCTTAGAACCCGCTAGAGATGGAGGTGAATTGGGAGAAGTAAAAGGATCACTCAACATCACTACTCAACATATGAACTTTGCCTTTTTATGTTATAATCTCACGAGGGGTTTCTGGGATTCAATTCTCAGACTCAATGACTAATGTAAGCCAGTAGTAAATGTAAACCCCTTCCATGTTTTATTGTTGCTTTAAAATTGTTTTTGTCCTTGTCACACTGCACCTGATCCAAATTCTGTCAATGTTTCAAAAAAACGCTTAAAGTAGCAAGCAAGCATGTCAACATCTGGTACATGAATCATCATAGGAATAAAAAGCATGTCTCATCCAACAAAATATACTTAGAAGAGCAAACCAAGAAAGAATGAAAAAAGTACACATTGCACAAGGCAAAGGTAGAGTAAAATCAATATAGATGTTACAGCATAACAAAACGTTTAAATTGCGAATGTCAATGTTAATACAAGTATTTATGGTCCGAGCAAAATCCTCACCTGTACCATATTAGATGATAAGATGTCATAACTAGAGGTTTGCCTGGCTTCGGTTACATGCCATTCTAACTCACAAGATGCTCAACACACAACTCAAACCAATGATTCTATAATGACTGCCTCAGAATTTCTCATTCAGAACTCAGTAGGAGCCTTCAACCTTATCAATCTCTTGATTCTATCTTTTTCCGTATTTTCCAAATACCCCTTCAAAAGATACACAGAAAATATGTAAGTACAACATCAAGCAGAATATCCTCTTTGCAACAATGGAATGCAAAAAGATAATGATTGGATCAGAGGTGTGTATAGTGAACAGAGACAAAGTAGCAAGTTTTGCATAAACAATATGGGTGAAACCCATCTGTTTTTAGTAGTATTGTGATTTTTTTTTTGCTTCAGTTCACATTTATTCTTATAAGATGGGGTATCATTTCATGTGTATAGCAGAATATAATCATAATGTGACGGGTCTCATGCAAAATAATTGACATCAAATAACAATATCTATGATAACTATATAGATACATGTGATAATATACACCATGTGAATGTCAAGAAACAATGTCTAAGGTATGTAGAATGAACGAGTAAACCCAGAACATTTCAAAAGTTAGCTGTGATATTTTAATAAACATTTTCCACCAAGCCTTCTCACCTTCCATACAATTTCATCCAAACACAAGCAAATTCTTCCATACTTATCAAGGAAGCGACGCTCAGTTGGGGGCTTCCCACATACATCCTTTACAGCTGAGGTTATTGTAAAGATTACCTCCGATACTGGACAGAAACAAAACATTGGTAAATTAGTATTATTGATAAAGTTACTAAAGTTTATGCAGCTTTAACAGGCTTTGTCTAATGTGCACAAGCAAGTTAGTCTTGCACCATGCATGCATTTGTTATCTACCATTTGATCAATAAATTTCATCCTATCTCATTTGATCCAATGCTAGAAACAACCTGTACATGGTGCAAGACTTATCTCACTTGTGCACCATAGAATTGGCCTTATAAAACACTAGTACACTTTTATTTTTTTCAATTTCAATTTCCAACCCTTAACAATTATGAACGCTGAAGACATCAACTGCTACTATGAACGAATAACCTTGTTTTTTAATTAAATGATTTTATTTTTATTTTCTTGGAAAGTTAGACAAAAGTGTGCACTAAGTTTAGATTCTAAGATGCTCCCCTACTAGTTCACCTGATTGCTAGCTTTTCCATAATGTTATTTAAAATGTAATGCCATGCTTCCAACACCACATGAGTATCCTTTAATTGCCAGTATATCTTCTATTAATAAAGGGAATATGAGGGAAGGTTTCCATCTTTTATTAATAGCTCCACTTTCTAGGGAGCATTTCATGACTAAATGAGAACGGCGGGTTGAGGGGATGCTGCAAAGAGAAGTTTGCAAGAGTTGGAGAAATAGAGAGAAAGAGAAATGGAGCAACGGTTGTGGATGGACATTAGTGTAAGGAATACAGAGGCTATGATACAGGAAATACTGTGCAGGATGGACAAGATTCTGGGAAACCCAATTGACAACATGGTTGATAAGTCAAGAAAATAATTGATGTCTCAAAGATGAGATCCAGGAACGAGAAATGCAGACAAGGACAAATACAGTGAAGAACCTTACAAATTGTTGATGCAGCAACTGACATAAGAAGACAAATCCAACCACCAGATATCAGAGGACATTATTATCTTTAATATGCAAGTTGATGGACCCTTGCGGAATAATATTTTAGCAAACCGATCACCTAGAGGACAGGGTTGGGAAGAGAGGGAGGGACTAGTAGCATATGTATGTAAGGACTGTTATAGAGAAGGTTAGCTTGTCGGGTTGAGATAACTAAATGAAATATATTTGTTGCCTGTAAATAAGAGGAGGGAGTGATATCTTGTTATTTACAAGAGAATTAGGGACTTTGGGTATAAGCAGATGAAACCCCCCAAGTTCTGCAGTGTACTATCTTTTTAATAGGGGATTTGTCCCTATTTCTTTCTAATAAGATGTGCGGTTGTTAGCAAACTTCACGCAAAAAAAGAGAATGCCCACTTTCAAGCATCAACAACTTAAGTAATTCATTTCTATGTCCTATTTTCCCATCAGCAAGTATGAAATATTGTTTCAATTATCAACACCTGAGATGAGTAACTTGTTTACTTTTATTTTACCATTTACCATCATTGTATATAAAAGATTGGTTCATAGAATACATACAAGCAAGTTCATCGTACTCGTCCTTCCCCACGACGTATATACTGACATCTCCAAGTATTGTGTATACAATATAAACTGACCTGATAAAGATAAGAAGTAGAAGTAAAATACTAAACCACCATGTATGAGAGATAACTTTCAAAAATGAAGGAATATGAATGAACAACAATTACAATGAATCAAACAATATTTTTTTCTCACGAATCCTGTAACATCTATTCCTGATTTTGATTGGACAAGTTCACATATAATTTGTTTAGCTTCCAATTCCTCGACTCATTTACATATTTTCCATTAAAAATTACACTATCTGAAATATCATAGTAAACAACTAATGTTACTCACTCTATTCTCATCTTTTTGCATTACAAAGCACAGATGCAAACTGTGCAGTCTATCACTGATGTAGCCAAGCACGAGATCTTAAGTAGGATCGGTCGTTTTGTGAAAGACCGTAAAACTCGGATCGTTAGCATGGCACGTAAGATCCTACTGAAGAGAAAAATGATAATTTCATATATACTCATACACACATACACAAAAACATGAAAATTTATAATTTTGGCCCCCAAAAAAAGGCCCAGAACGTTTTTTATACGATCTTGCTTCAAAAAGCTCGATCTTGACCACATCGGTGACGAAAACAATCTTTCTCTGATCGTAGCACTCTCAGACATCCTTGGCACGTTTAGGTGTCAGCACTCGATCTTGACTACACTGATCACAGTCATAGTACTTAATTGATAATGATTCGGTTAAACACATTCAACAACCCATTTACCTTGCCACTACATTCCTAGTAACCAAAATTTAGCCCTTCCCCGCAAGTTCAGAATCAGATAAAGTTACATAGTGCTATTATATAAAGTAACCTATCAAGGTACAAAATACATTCATACATATCACATATAAATAAGAGAACAGTATATACTCACTTGTGGCAAGCAACTAGAAGTTCTTCATTTTTTACACCCTTAAGATTGTCCGCTCCTAGTTTGACCAAGAAAGAACGCCAGTGTAGACGCTCCTCCGCAGGAACTCCATGAAAACTGCAATCATAAATCCACTAAGTTCTAGTAATAACATTTGGTTAAATTCAATTCAATCATGTAAGATAAAAAGTGAAGCAATTTAGCACATTAGTCTTAGTTATGAAGCTAACTAACACTAACCCATCCTCAATTTAGCAATTTAATATCAAATTAGGTTATCAAAATTCCTAAATATTTCGTTAATTGCTAAAGCATTCAACGGGTTAACCATGTACACTTGGAAAGATTTGATTTTGAAAATGCTTAAAGAAATAACAAGTGTGTTAGTTAGTCTAATCCAATAAAACATCAAGATAAACCAAAATCGAAAGTTCCAACAGCATCAAGATCAAACAAACCGCAGAAAATTATGAACAAATTAAGAAATGAGGAATTAGGAGGTAGAATATATAGATCAGAAAGAGAAAATGGAAATGAAACAGGGGGATGGAAGTGTACCGTTCGATGAGGATATTGCCCTCTGCGTTCGCAAACAGCACCGCGAGAATCATATTCTTCTCCGTCTGAAATCAAACTGAAGTTTTTCTTACCGGCGAAGTTAAATTGCCGAGTTTAAAATTACTTACATACCCTTGGCAAATAGGGGAGGATTAATTTGTCTTTTGCTTGGATTAAAGAGGGTTATAAGATGAAATAGAATAAAATTGTACTATTTGAATTCATTTTTTCTTACCTCTTAATTTAGGTGTTCCTAAGAATGGTGTAAGACTTTAGAATTAGTGTAGTTGATCTCTGATAAGGTGTTACGGGGGCAAATATGTAAGATTAGTATTCTAAGCCTAAAGTTAAATTAGAGTTTAAGATGAGTATGGTAAAAAGTGGAGATTAAAAAAACATATTTTAAATCTCACGTGTGTTGACTTTATACATTGAATAATATTGATTGCACTCGTGTGTGATTGGATCTTTGTATTTGGTCTTTAGCCGACCCAGAACAATTATTTCTAAGACTTGTCGGATATGAACTAGTCGAGAAGTTTTCAAAGTCGTGGCCGACCTCTAGCGATGATGCCCGACCATGGAGAGAAGCAGAAAAGTCATGGATCAGTTATAAAAGTACTGGAAGACAAACGCATTAAATATTTTCCTATCATTGAAACATATCGCTGGCTTTTCAAGCGCTTGGCCCTAATTTCGCGGGTGAGGGAAAAGTTCCTCTACCTAAGGTGCTCAAGTGCATATGAGCTGTTTATGTTCTCAAGGAACAGTTGATCAATCACCCTTAAATTTCCTACCAACTGTTGATTTAGATTGTTGGTTCACTGTTGATTTTATTATAATAAGGTTAGTTTCTTTTCAAACGTCTCTTTTGCTTTGTTTATGATTTGGAGTTTGCCTTCCTCTTTTTAGTTTGCTCTTCTGTTTGTGTACTCCGACAAATTCAACCTTTCGTTGTCTCTCTGTTTGTGGGGAATTATTCTTAAGCTATGTTATTGTCCTCCCTTTATGTGTTGTTATGGTTAACTTTTGTTTTCTGACCAGGCAATAAGTCGTCAGGAGTTTGCGGACGCAAAGTCCACTAAGGATAGAAGGAAGCTTTCTGGTACATGATCTGACTCTATTTCATTTGATTTATGTTGAATTTCCTTATCTATTTGTTTTCTCCTCAGTCTTCTTATTTATTTTCATATAAGAACAATATAGAAGATAGAAAAGAAGAAGATTCACAACCTCCAGTTGATCCTACTCCGATTGAGAAACCTACTAAGTCCATGATCAATGGTGAATTTTCATTAGTTGACATGAGAACATTGGTGTCTTCGAGAGTTTTTCATCCTCTCTTTGAGCGATGAAGAAAAAAGAATAAAAACATGCTCATTGTTCTGGCCTGACCAAAAGAGACTGTAGCAAGGCTTCCGCTCGAGGAAATTCCACTAAGAAATCGAGGTTGTCTGGGTAAGCTCCTGTTATTCAAGTGTCAGACAATATCGGGACCCCTTTCTTTCAGCTACCCCCCGTGTTTTTCGGTCGAAGGCCCCAAATCACTTTAGAAATAAATGTGTGTGTATCTGTTAAAGATTCTACTCATATACACAAGCTCTCTGAAATACGCAAGTCGGGGTTGCTGGTCAAACCCGCCTTCCAAATTTTGTGGGTAGCTTCCTGTTGCACCCCAAAATTTTCCCTCGCGTTTTCTAACTTTAACTGGCTCTCGTTTCACATTCATTTGCATATCATCTAGGTCAGTCATTTCTCGCATATTGTCCATGTTATCAGCCGTAATGGATTTATCAGAATTACAGCCGCTTTGTTTGCATTTTGGATGGTTGAAACCGTTTCGACGGATAAGTTTTATTTTGAAATTAGACGGAGTGTTGCATTTCTTCCGAGTGGTTTGTTTCGCGTTGATATTTTAGGCGCGTTCGCTTTTTCGGTTTTGAGCTTTACTTAACCTTTTCATTTTTATTTGTGATTTATGTTTTAACAGTCGTTTGTTAATTTAGGTTCAATTTTGTTTTGTTTATATTAGTTAGGGTTTTATTTGACCTTTTTAATATTAGTTTTTAATAGTTAATATTTAGTTTAAGATTTAAATATGTTAATAATAGTAAGGTTGTAATATGAATTAATTAGATTTAATTAGAAATAGGTTTAGAATTTTAATTTAGAAAATAGATTAGAACTAGAATTATATTTTAGTTAGATTTTAATTGATCATTTGGTTAGATTTTAGTGGCATTAGAATTCTAGTATTAGTTCTAGTTAAATGGCTATTTTAGAATTTTTGTTTTATGTAACTTTAGAATTAGAATTTTAATTAGAATAGAATCAATTAATTAGGATAGAATTAGGTTTTAATTTAATCAATTAGATTTAGAGTAGAATTAATTTTAATTTAGAGTTGAAAATAGAATTAGATTAATTAGTTAATTAAGTTTTTAATTTGTTGCAAATCAGTCCAAACACTTCATGTCAAACTTCTGCAAACCATTACCATTGTCCACTTTCACCAACAAGGCACCAAACGCCTGCTACTGCCCACACCATAAACCTCCAAAAAATATCCTGTACCAGACCTGCAACATAAGCAGCCAAGCCTCTACACCACTTCACAACTAACTTTCACCAAAACATCTTGCATCAAAACTGCGCCAGCTTGCATAATAAAAGGACAACCAACAATATCAGACAAAAAAATAGTACAATTTGCCAGCCACCAACAAAACTACAGTAACAGAGGAATCTGTTTTAAAAAAAAGAAAAGAATTTCAAGAAGAGGAGGGAGAACGAGATAAGGACAGAGAAAAAGAAAAGCAACAACATAAAGAGGGAGAGAGCTTATTCATTCGGGAATCGGCATCAACATCTACCTTCACCCTCCCCCGAATTCATCACCTACAAATCTCAATAAAACCACATCTCAGAGTCACCCAAACAGGCTTTTTCGTCCAATCTGAAAACAAAACGAAAACATTTTCATCCTCTTCAATCAACAATTAAAGACCCTTCAGACTTAATATCAACAACAAGAACTTCACAACACCCACCTTCAAATCATAACTTCAACAACTAAAAAAATCTCAATCTTCAACCTCAACTCCCACAGATAGTTAATCTTTATCTTCACTCAATTCACTCAAACCCATTAATTCGAAAGTAACAACTCAACAATTTCAAATTCAGAAAATAGAGAAGAAGAGGATGTAACACGACTAATTCTTACATCACCTTCGTTGCATAAACTCGATAACTTAGCTTTGAACTTTGATTTGTGAATGTTTTGATCTTGTATCTACCGTATTTGTTCCCTCGTTTGTCTTCCGTGTTGCTTCGTGTGTGAGACGATTACGTGAGTGCGAGTGATGATTTTACTGAGTGAGCATGGGAGTCGTTGAAGTGAGGTTTTGGTGAGGACATTAAAGTCCTATCGTCGCCAGCATGACGTCGCAGCACGACAGAGCTTTTCGTTTCTGGTGGTTTTTTTGGATGTAGAGTGTTGAGGTTGTTGGCGACTTATGGTGACGAGAGGGACGAAGACGTTGTTGCAATTGTTTTAGTCACGGCGGCGAGATGGGTTTCGTTCGGACTGAAGAAGAAAGGAAAGTGAAGATGAGGAAACCATGGAAGAAGGAGAGAGAGGAGAGAAATCAGTGAGAGAAGAGAGATTTTTTTAGTTCAGAAGAGAAATAGGAAGAGAAAGGAGATAGCGTTGGGAAAAAAGAGAGATTGGAGAAGAGAGAAAACGTATTTGGAGAAGAGAGAAAACATGTATGGGAAAGAGAGAAAAGCGTTGGGAAAAGAGAGAGAGGATTTGGGGAAGAGGAAGATTTCACGTGGAGGGAGAGAAAATCATGGAGAAGAGTTCAAATTTTTATTAGTATTTAAATTAGTTTTTATGTTAGCATTTATTTAGTTTTTTTATATTTTAGTTTAATATTAGTATTAACTTTAATTTAATTTTTAGTTTTAATTAACTGTTAGAACTATTTTTTTTGTTTAGAATTATTAATTAGCTTTAATTTTAATTAGATTATAATAGTTTGGTTTTCTTTTAATTTAGAATTGAATTAGGATTAACTTAGGATTTTATTATTTTGTTTAACTTAGACTTAATTTAGAATATAGTTAACTTTAGAAATTAGACTAGATTAATTTTTAATTAAATTAGATTTAATTTTAATTAGAGTTTGATAAAATTAGGTTTTAATTAATTTTTTTAAACTAGAACACTAATTAAATTTTTGTATTACAATTAGAATTTAATTTAGAGTTAGAATTAGACCTTAATTAATTTTAGTTTTATATTTGAATTTAATAAATTTAGATTAGGACTTAATTTAATTATTTAAAGTTTTATTAATTTAGGTATAGGTTAGAAATTAGTTTTTAATTTTAGAATTAGAATAGTTTATTATTTAGATTAGTTTAGATTTAACCTTGATTAATTTAGGATTATCTTTAGATTTTTTTTATTAATTATAGATTTTAGTTAGTTAGGATTTAGATTTAGTTTTGACTAATTAGACTTTTAACTTAACTAACTTCTTTAATTCTTTTTTAATTCTAATTAATTCTCGAGTGCGTCTGTAAATACTTGTGCTTATTTTATGTACATATTTCTTGAGTTTAAAACTTGACGTTGTCTGTGATTGCGTCGCTTCGTGTTTACTTGATGTTTACTTCATGTATTCGCATGATCCCTTAGGATTCCTAGTTCGACTTAATTTCCGATTAAGTTTGAGGTAGGAGAGACATTAGGCTTTCAATCCAAGCATGACAATATTAGGTTAGTTTCCCTCATAATCCTGACTTTAGAGCCACATTGCATGACAACAATTAGGGTTCAGTTTCCCCTAGGTCTGTGTGCGCGTCTCGCTCTTCTCACCTCAAAATTTCTTCAAGACACTTAATAAAGAAAGACAAGCATCGTACGCTACGAGCCTTAAGTACATGGGAAATGATGAGTGGGGGATTCCTCCTCGCTTGTCTAGAGTGTTTAGCATATGCCCTTTGGGCAATATGCGACGCATTCGCCCCCGTGTCATAGTCT